AGGGCGAAGGATCCAGTGCAAATATTGGTACTACGGTAGAGGATCAAGGTAGGTGGAATAAATGCAAGGAGGGGTGGATGGAGGGCACAGGAGGTACAGTTTTGCTATGGAATATCCTGAGTTTCCGTAGATTCATTGGAAAAGAACAGTTCTGGGCCTGACGAGTCCCTGTTAGCACGTAGACGATCTTAGAACTGCTATACTTATTGCACATTCAACAGAGTATGTCTGCTTTCTCCGACGCCACCTTAAATCTTGAGCACATGAGAGAATCATGTCAGTATAGAACTACTCGTGAGAAACAATATGGTGATGGTGAGTAGATTTTCATTATCATGACGCAAAGATGATAGGTAAACATAGCGAATACTTGATCTTCGAGATTCCTTTTGAGGAACTGTTAGTTCACACCTTCCGTGTCTCTAATCACTTGGCAAAAATCGTCGCTATTCTCGAAGCAATTTGCTCCCATGCTTGCTGCTGTGGATCAGGAATGTTCCGGTCCATGTATCAGAAGAACGGGCATTACGAATAAACTCTTTCTGAGGGGTATATATGTGGCACCGTGTCATCAATTCCCTCTGTCCTTACTGACGACATGCAAAGCACTTTCACCTACAACTTCGACACCCCGGCCTTCAAAGGGACTTCAACTTTCCACACAGGGTGAGGGGAAAATTCTGCTTGTAAGACTTTTCTGACTTTCTTGAAAGTCTTTTCATTGGCGGAAAATGGATGGATCCTGTGAAACCTGCGACAATTGAGTGGGTGACCCGAAAAGATTCCGTTTTCATGATACTTACTCTGCCAATTAGTGTTATCAATCCAGGTATGAGAAGCACGCGTTTTGTGGTTTCATATCTTACTTGATTTGCCTCAAATCAGCGACGGGAAAAGTCATCACGACCGTCGCCGTAGGGTCGTCCCAGGACGTCGACATTGCAGTTGACGTTGCTAAGAAAGTAAGGTTGGGAATAGGAATAAGATACTATGCTCTAACGTGGTTACCAGGCATACAAGACTTCATGGGGACTCAAAGTACCGGGGACAGCACGTGGAAAGCTCTTGCATAAGCTCGCTGAACTCCTTGAGAGGGATATGGATGAGTTTGCTGCTCTCGAGAGTCTCAATGTTGGCAAGTGTTGTTGTCGGTCTGCGCTTCCAATGACTTTTAGCAAACTTGCTCTACAGGTAAGGTCTTTGGGAATGCAAAGTCAGGAGATGTTCAAGGCAGCATTGATGTTTTGCGTTACTACGCTGGTTGGGCTGACAAAGTGCAGGGGAAAACCATCGAAGTAAGTCTCAACCTTTGACCGGACTTTACATTCTCAAAAGCCTGATTGCATGTAGACGAATGAGAATAAACTTGCTTACACAAGGCGTGAGCCGTTTGGTGTCGTGGTAGGTCCTTAATTTCTAAGTTGTCTCAAGCATGTAGGTATTGACTTATAGCCTTTAGGGACAAATTATCCCATGGAATGGCCCTCTGGTGCGGATGTCGATTCTTTTACTTGAGTAGTCTCCTGACTATTCTCATCCCATAGTTAATGCTGGCGTGGAAATTCGGTCCCGCCCTTGCAACTGGCAATACCATTGTGCTGAAGGTATGCTGACCTTTGTATCATTTCCACCACCTTCACCCTCTGACATGTTTTAGCCATCCGAAATCACACCGCTTACAGCCTTACGCTTCGCTGACCTCCTGATAGAAGCTGGCTTCCCCCCTGGAGTGGTGAACATTGTCACCGGTTATGGACTCACAGTTGGTCAAGCCATCGTTGATCATCCCCTCATTACGAAGGTCGCATTCACGGGCAGCACTCTAGTGGGGCGTAAAATTCTCAAGGCATCCTCAGAATCGAATTTGAAAGTCATCACGCTTGAACTGGGGGGGAAAAGTCCCACTGTCATTTTTGACGACGCAGATCTGGAACAAGCTATGAAATGGGCTGCATTTGGAATTTAGTGAGCTCACGTTGTGATCACCGTGTGTCAGACTGTTGACTGACTTATACATAGCTATAATATGGGTGCGTAAGATGTTAATAATGGTGTTATGAAAATGCTGAGCGACCTCAGGCCAGGCATGCACTGCAGGCTCACGCATCTTCGTTCAAGAGGGGATATATGAAGAATTCCTTACTAAGTTTACTGCAATCACAAAGAATTTTGCTGCTGCCACTGGTGATCCGTTTGGCATTGGCACGCAACATGGTCCACAAATCTCACAGGTCCAGTTTGATGTGCGTTCTTCCTTGGCCCGGTCATTTTTTTCACATGGAAATTCTGTTTTTCCCATTAAGCAAACAGTGCTTACGATCCTGTTGTAGCGTGTCATGTCATATATTGAGTCGGGTAAGCAGGATGGTGCGACGGTGCACACCGGTGGAACACGTCACGGGGACAAGGGCTACTTCATTGAGCCAACGATCTTCACGGACGTCAAGCCCGAGATGAAGATATTCCAGGAAGAAATTTTCGGCCCAGTCGGTGTCGTCACTAAGTTCAAGACTGAAGAGGGTGAGCTTATCCTACTATTTAATGTAAGACCATATAAGAGTTGATGAATCTTTGTAGAGGTCATTGAGGCGGCTAACAACACAACGTATGGTCTCGGTTGCCATATTTTTTCGCAGAATATTAGTCGTGCCTTGAGAGTTGCACACTCGCTTGAGGCCGGGTCTGCTTGGGTATCTCTTTGGTCTCTCGATGTGGTCAACTTGAGCCACTCATTTTCATTTTTTCAAGGTCAACTGTGCTCAATCAGTGGACAAAGCTGTACCATTCGGGGGTTATAAACAGTCTGGTATCGGCCGTGAGCTTGGCGAGTATGCCCTTGATAAGTAAGTTGCATTCTACAAGTTACAAGATTTGTGCTGAGTTCACCTGCATCCAAAGTTACACTCAAGTCAAGGCTGTACATGTGAACATCGGACAGAAACTTTGATCAGTTCACGTTATTGATCATGAAACAAGTGGAATTGTCGACTCGGGATCGGTTGGTCACGAGTCCCCAATATGATAGTGCGCGGTGCATCAAACTTTTGTGCCTTGATATACAACAACGACCGTAGCAGCTATGTGATAATGTGCCAGACGACTTGACCGAAGTATACCCGCCCTCTCTCGGAATGGTTATTACTTGCTTATCTATTTTGAAGCCAGAGATAATAGTATACCGACAGACAGACATGTCTGCTTACGGTGGACCGTGAATTGAATTTGCAGCAGCTCATAAACTGGCAACGCCTTGTATTTGACCTGGTCCTTCCAGCTCTAGCATGTATTTCCATCAGAAAAACTTCGGGCTTTAAGAAGAATCAATTGCCAGGAATAGATTGAGTACATACAGTCATGGATATTTTTGGGGCTGCTACAATTATCCGTTCGTATGTCACGCATCGACATCGGCCGCCTGCAAGGACTCGATCTGAATTTATACCGTGTTTTTACCGGTGCGTTTCTATTAAAACGATGTGGCGAGAGTTGTTACACATTCGAGAACCATGGTTTCCTTTACATCCCTTCTTGCCATTTGCTCAACTGCAATGACGGTCATGGCTCTGCCTCGGCTGTCGAACATAACCTCTGAGAATGAGCTCGTCCGTCGTGCAACCATCAGTACTAGCACTACTGGCACTCTCAATGGCTACTACTACTCTCTGTGGATGCAGGCAAACACCGGAGCCACTATGGACGTTGAGGCTGGCTCATACAGTCTTTCATGGTCCACTTCCTCTGTCAATGTTGTTGGTGGAATTGGCTGGATGCCAGGAAGTGCTAGGTAAGGCGCTGTCTTAACAGACTCGAATGTGCCGATCTTATGAGTTGGTTTATCATCCCAGGGTAATCAACTACAGCGGATCATTCAATTCGCCTGGAAACGGCTACCTCTCTGTCTACGGATGGACGACGAGCCCTCTTGTCGAGTACTACATCGTCGAGTCCTATGGCAGCTACAACCCTGCTACTGGCCTTGCAAGCCTGGGCACCGTCACAAGTGATGGAGGAACATACAACATCTACCACAATGTCCGAGTAAACGCCCCTTCCATCCAGGGTACTACGACATTCGATCAGTTCTTGTCAGTACGAACCTCCAAGCGTGTGGGCGGAACTGTCACCACAGGAAACCATTTCAACGCATGGGCGTCCCATGGACTCGTACTTGGCACGCACAATGAACAAATCCTTGCCACGGAAGGTTACGAGAGCAGCGGATCTTCCTCTATCTCTATCTCTCAGGGAAGTGGAGGAGGATCTCCCACCACAACAGGCAGCACGCCTACTGGTACCACTGGTAGTGGCACTGCAGCGCATTGGGGACAATGCGGTGGCACTGGTTGGACAGGCCCCACTACTTGTGCGGCACCTTATACTTGCCAGGCCATAAATGGTATTGTCCATTGCCGACTCTTTCACATCATGAATTCTCACACATGCCTCTAGGATATTACTCTCAGTGCCTGTAAACCCGTGTCAAACTATAAAAATTGATTTCTGCATTCTATACTCTTATAGTCAGGCTGACGCAGTCGTTGAAAAGATTGACCTTGTGCTTATACTGAATTACGTCCAATCTGAGTGTAACAGTGGATGGAGAGCATTGACTTTTTTAGTTCAACAATGGTCTCGCCATGTCTGGTGCTTCTATGTACAATCTTCGAGACTGGTAATGGATGGCAGGTTTACCTCGTGATGTTGGAGAATACAGTATTAGGTAGAAAATCAGAGTAGTAGATGGAAACAGATGCAAGAATTGGTGGATGAGGGCAGAGGTTTGATTTGGGTCTGGCATATCCTGAACCTAAGTTGTACATTCATTTCAAAAAGAACAATGTACTGTGCTTGAGGAGGTGATGAGGCTACTTGTATTATTTATGATTCCAAGTACAGATTTTGAGTGATTTCATGTTGAAAAGCACGTTCAGTAGTAATAGTAATTAGGTAGTCAGGGAATGATGCTGCCTCGGCAATTTGATTAAAAATTGGTCGCGTTATTCGGGTACGGGGAATCGAACCCCGAGCTGCCGCGTCCACAGATTGTAATGAGAGGCGGCAATGTTAGCCGTTACACCATACCCGATTACAACTTTAAGGTCAATGTCGTATTAACTCTCTCCACGACTTTCAAAGGGGTTCAATTGCCACTGTAGTTTTTCACATCGTCTCCTGGTACCGTACGAGTTATATGGCTTCAGGGGGAACACTGCAGCGACTCCTCGAGTAGGTTTTCGTAATGGAAATACTTAGTAGCTCTGGTCGGGGAGGGATGGCTGTGACAATGGCTCTCGCAACGCTTGATAGGAAAGGCGTCCGTAGCATACAGTACATGGGGCGAGACCAATGTATGTACATACATAGCATGTTGCACGGACCCCGGCTGTTCGCACGCGGACCGCGCCGGTATTCACCACCACCACCACCGTCGAGGGTTGAACGTTGATCTTGATCCGTAGAAGGCCTTGAAGAACTTATTCCACTCAAACGCATCCCAGACTTTAGGTTCTGACACACACTGTACACTACCCCGAGTGTGTAGATGCAAGAATGTTTTGCAGAATGCGCTCGAAGCATCGCACAAGTGCTAATTCCAAACACAGAATACACGATGAAATAGGTCTCTTGCGACTCAAGGAGTTGCAAAGAATTCGACAGAATATCCAGAGTAAGAAAAAGCCGGGGACACGAGTAAGTCAAGCAAGGCGATGACCAGTGCAAGTGATGACGTGAAATGTGATGTGTCAGTTGCGCATCCGGAAAGTCGTTGCCATAGTGGGGAAAGGCGCGGTTGCAGGGTGGATGAGGCGTGGAAAGAAAGCTCGGAAGATGGACCGATAGTTCGAGGACGGTGCTGACGCTGAGCACAGGGTCCCAGACGTCCTAGACGTCTCAGAGAATACTTTCAATCACCCGTAGAACATGTGAGAATGCTCTGGAAAATGTGACTCACTGAATGACTGACTGTGCATGCCGCCCACTGCACGCAAGCGCGGCGGAGATTACATAATCGAGGGTCTTTGTTTTACTCCTGGTTGTGGCCACAAATCTGTTTTCCACAAACCGCCATGCAAGTCGACAGCCAGCAGGCTTACTCCTTCCCCGCCTCCCTCACTGACCTCGCCGACATCTTCAACCCCGACGCCTTTGCCGACGATCTCGCCAATGCCTTCGTCAACGTCCCCAACAGCTCCAACTCGCCCCCCACTGCTTCTTCCTCTCGCGGCTCGTCACCCTACCTTTCGTCAATACAGACACCCCCTCAGCCACCTGCTTTCCCTGATTATACCCCCTCGTCTTTCTTTGGCCTTGACGACGACCTCCAGACAAAGCAGTATGACTCAATGATGAACATTCCTAATAATTCCTACGACTTTTTCACCGCCTTTGAAGGCGTTGATATGGGAATAGATAGCGGATTGAACATGGAGATGGCTGCGGACATCTCGGGCATCAACACTGGCATCGTCGGCGAGGCAATGGGAATAGATCCCCAACTCGTTGGCACACCCTCTGCGCACAGTGATATAGACGAGCAAAATGAAGATATAGAGCACGATGGCGATGTGTCTGCTTCCCCGTCGTCTTCAGGCTCGCCACCGGCTACAACAACGGCGGCCCGCAAGGTGCGGTCCGCGAAACGCAAGGAGAGAGAAGTTGAGACGGAAGAGGACAGGGAAAAGCTGACGCTTGTCATCCAGCCTGTCAAGGCAGGCGGACATGGTAAGGCGCGTAAGGGTACCATCCAGTCAGGAGGCATCGTGAAAAAGACGCCTTCTTCCAATCCCGTTACTGCCTCCCTTGGAAAGGAAAATACTTACACTCCCACCACTATTGCTTCCTTTGTCGCTTCTGCGACGTACACACCTCCCAGCGCTTTCCAGCCTACAAATCTTTATAACAACCTTCAGTCTCAGGAAAAGAAGGATGATAAGGACGATGAAGATGACGAGCTTCCGCAGGATTGGAGACCTTCTCCAGAAGTCCTTGCGAAAATGACAAGCAAGGAGAAAAGACAGCTTCGTAACAAGATAAGCGCGCGCAACTTCCGTGTCCGCCGAAAGGGTGTGTATCGTCATTGCTTCTATACATTGATTGTATATTTAAATTTGCTTCGATCATAAAGAATACATTTCAACCCTAGAGGGCGACATTGCGGAGCGCGATCGACTCCTCGAGGCTATCCGTTCCGAACTCGGCTCGACTCAATCTGAGAATCTGGCTTTGCGACAAGAGATTGCTGCGCTCAAACGCACGCTTCTCGAGGGTCGTGCACCGACATCTGCCGCTGATGGCACTTCTGAATTTCCTTTACTCAATCTTCCCCCGCCCGCTCCTCTTCCTGCGCAGAGTGCTGCTGCGACGCTTCAAGCTCAGGCCCAGGCCCAAGCACAAGCGCAGCAGCAGCCACAAGCACAGCCACAGCCCTTGCTCACGCCAAACACGCAGAAAGATACAACCAAGAATGGAAGGTTTTGGGGTGGCGTCAGGATCGGCATGGGCATGGGAGGTATCACACCTGTTCATCGCGTTGTGCTTCCTGAGATGTCCGTCGTGGATCTGTTTGCCAACCAATTCGGTCCGAGTCCATTTGTTGTCCAAAAGGATGACAAATGGAAAGAGAATGTCAATCCTTTGCTTAATGAGCTTGTTGGGGAGAAGATCAATTCAGACAAGGAGAAGGAGAAGGAGAAAGAACGGGAGAAAGAACGAGAGAGGATACACAATCATCTGGGCTTCGAGGGTTTCACGGATGTCAACCCTTTCACGATGAAGACACTCGACGCGTACAGAATGCATCTATGGAGCAAGATGGCGTCTCAGCAGCAGTTTGTTCAGCATCAACAGAATCATCTCCAGCAACAACAGTCCCATGCGAACCCGCACCTCACGAATCTCGCGTCTCAACTCCGCCCGGCGTTCTTCACGTCGCCCAACGCGCCGGCATCTCCACTCGCGTCGTTGCTGTCTGGCAAGCACATGCTGAACTCGCCAGCGCCTCCCTACTCGCCCCCTCCGCCGCCATATACGTCTCCCCCCTCGTCACCTCTGCTCGTGGGCAAGGGAGGTGTGATGGAGAAGCTCGAGAGGGAGAGGAGGGAGAAGGAAAGAGAAAGGGAGATGCAGAAGGAACGGGAGAAGAAGGAGACGGCGATGTATGCGGCCATTGCGAGCCAGACGCTTTTGAGGAAGCTGGGACATGCGTTTTGGGATGCATTTGCTGGGTCTTCGGGTTCGAGCTCGGGTTCGGGTTCGTCGTCGAATTCGGGCTTGAAACCGTGGGACGCAGACAAGGTCAGGAAGGTGTTGGAGGGTACAGCGGTTGTGAAGGTTGTGGATGTTGAAGAGGTGAAGCCTCAGCAGGAGAAGGAGCAGGTCCAGACGCAGCAGAAGGAGAGGAAGTGTTTGAAGGCGGCGGAGGAGTTGTTGGAGCAGAGTATGAGGAGTTTGACGTTGAATAAGAAGTCTTAAACGTGTCGGTGTGTGTGGGTTGTTTTTGCCATGAGATTCTGGCTGATGAGTTTATTTATCAGTGAACAACATTAAAGAAAGAAGTCTTTCCCTTCAATGTATCATATAACAAAGCTCGTGATTTAATACTGTACTTCGCCTTTCTTTCCTCGCTTTTCTCCTTGCCCACCATATTCTATCCCCGCTCAAGTGTCTTTCCTCGGTCTTCACCTGTATATGCTTTGCACTCCTCCTTCGGCTAAATGCCCATCGCTGCTGCGTCCTCATGAATTATCTATCCTTTCAAGTACGGTACTCATTATACCGCCTCATCCACACTCTCTGCTTGTCGATTTCCTATCCACCCTCACTCTTTCAAATTGTGTTCGTGGATCGAACTCTTTCTCCTTTCTAAAAACTTGGCCCAGCCTCCTTCTCTCTTCCTCATTCGTGTCTCCTTCTCGTATCTCGAAAAGCTTTAGATTTCGGTTCGTTGAAGCTGCCTATCCACCCTTCTGCTTAGAACCTCCCCGCTCAGCATTGATCGTTTTCATTCGCTTTCCTTACCTTCCATCTTCCTTCCTTGTTTATTTATTAGATTGATTTTGGATCGTTTCAGTTTGCATCTGCTAGTATACGAGTACTAGTATTGAAATTACCATCGTAGCATACATATCTTTCGCATAGGCATCTTCAGAATTATATTCAAATTTGAACAGATAACCTTAAGGTTGCGTTGGTGGAAGTGAACCAAGTTTAGTGTGTATTTTGTTGATAACGCGAACTCGAAAAGAATTTTCACTGGCACACGTTGAAGGTTGAACATTTGACAACACAGCGCTGCTTGTTTGCGATCTCTCTTGAGTTATGGACGCTCGGCTATAATCTTCAATAGTGCCAAAATGTCAAACTTCACACTGTACAGTATAGGAAGGTAATCATTGAATGAGAGACTAAAGAAGCGATAGTATACAGAAATTTGCGAGTGTACAAAAATGAGGACGTATTGTAGATAGGCATCTGTCTGTCTGCAGTCAAAGAAGAATGATACAAACTTCAAGAGAAAAAAACCTGAGAGGGATCCACTTTCACCTCTCACTAGCTTCCCTAATGCCTATCCGATCAGGGTCGCAAAGCTTAGTCGGGTAGAGATGAGCATCTGGAAAACCATTTTCTTGAATTACTGCGAGGAGCCACCAGATAGGTGTTGCGTAGCTGATGTCGGACGATATTGTTTTGCCGGCGCCACCAGTGAGGAGGCCACCAAATCGACCACAGCCATCTACAATAACAGACCCTGAATCTCCGTCAGCCGAAAAGAGCCCCCCTGCCTTGCCGTAGGGAAGTATGGACCACTCCATAGATGTGTGGAAAGTTTGGTTGGGAAAGTACTCTCGAACATGAGAAAAGATCCCAGTAGCTCGCCCAATAGTGAAATCAGTTGCAGGACCATTCTTTACAACAAATAGACACGGTTCTCCATTGTGGTCGACTGTATCAGGACTGCGCATCATGTCTTCTGAGATAATGTTCTGAAGAGGAATGAGGCGATCACCATAATACTCAACCCTTGCCTGATTGTGAGTTTTAGGGTGCATCTTATGGATAAAATCACTAGGTGAGATCTTTGTCCCT